TCTGAGCAGCCCGAGGAGCCAACAGAGGATGTTGCAACAGAGGCTGGGCCTCGAGCGCCTGTGGAAGGTATCCCCATTCTGGACGGCGTGAGTTGCCCCATTTGTCAGGCATGCTTCACGACGAAGAATAGCCTGCACTTTCATTTGCACAACAAACACGTTGGTGACCCCAATATCAATCAGCCGCCTCGACGAGTCAAGCTGCAAAAGCCGCTGCGCGGTGCTGGAGCCCGCTGTGTCGAGGTCATTGTCGAAGAAAGCCACGACGCCTCGGCAGCCGATGTGAGCGAAAGCGAGGAGGAGCTGGAGGAGCAGCAGCGGTTCAAGCAGTTTATCTCAAGCACCCAGGCCATGGCCTCGGAGGCTGAGGATAAGCGATGCCCGCACGGCGTTCACCAGATGCATCCGTTTTACGATAGCGTGGGCATGACGCTGATCATCAACGAGCTGAAGCCAGAGCGCATGGTCGAACTGGGCCACAACACCCCGTCGGCACTCCTTGAGTCGGGCATGCACGAGCTGTTCTGGACGGCCTACGAGCAGCTCTCGGATCAGGGCCTGGCCGCTGCTGCGGTGACGCGTCTGTTTGACGACAATGAAGGGCAGTATCAGCATCGCCCCATGCGGCAAGTACAGCCGCAAACCGTCAGCAGGTACCTGAGTCTTGGGACACGCCTGGTCCAATTTTTGCTGCTGCTGGAGGCCATGCCAGCCCTAGTGTAAGGAATTCCGGGAATGATCCACCTTCCTTGTGATGACATTAAGACGCAGTTGTTAGCGTCAAGAATTTCTGTTGGCTAGTGTGAGAGAGAGCGTGTTATTTGACTGGCGTTGTCACACAAATTTGGGGCAGATTCGATGTTGGCGAATCCAAGGTTCGTAAGACCTGTTTCACCAAACCCCTCTATTCTCATGTTGACTATAATTCCACAATGCCCCTCTTTTTTTACTAAATTCACAATGCCTCTCTTATTTTACATGTCTTTCCAAATTCATAATGCCCCTCTTATTTTACATGTATTTCTAAATTCATAATGCCTCTCTTATTTTACATGTCTTCCTAAATTCATAATGCCTCTCTTATTTTACATGACTTCCTAAATTCATAATGCCTCTCTTATTTTACATGACTTCCTAAATTCATAATGCCTCTCTTATTTTACATGTCTTCCTAAATTCATAACGCCCCTCTATTCTCATGTAAACTGTAAATTTACAATGCCCCTCTTTCTTAAAAGCTCATGATGACATTTTGTGAACACATGTTTCGTACAATTACAAATTTCAAATTTCAAATTTTTCATTTTTTTTTCTTCTCCAGACTACTTGCGTGCGACGACTGGACCTCATGCAGCTGTACCCCCATTCTG